TTTTGTATGGTTTATTATTGTTAGCGACTGTAGTGATAATGCTTATAAGTTTAGACAATTTTTTTTGTAACAATTTGTCGTTATCATATTTTGTAGCACCAAGTAGTACTTACTTACGTACAATATTGCATTTTCGTGTACATTTGCAACACTAAATATGTTCTTTCAAAAGTTACTATTGGATTATCCTCATACCAATATATCTCAACGCTGTTTTATGAAACCTTAACTACTTAGGCAGTTTTGTGCCTCTTAATATTCGAAAAAAACTTATTAAGAAAGAAAAAGGTATTCGTTTACTGTACTACCATACTAATAAGATAAACATTATTCTGCCTTAATGATAGTTCTTTCTGAAGTATTTAATTACATTGTTATAGCAGCACTAGTTAGATTTCACAACTGTTTTTGTCACAAGGAGCAATTTAATAATAAATAGAATACAATACATTTAAACAGCAAACGGAATTAAAGAGTTTATTGGATAGCGATAGTAGTTCACGGTTTCATTATAATTGAAGAAATAAAATTAACGAAATAATAATTTTCAATACAAAAAGCGTGGGGTGTTTTTAATATATTTTATAATGACTCAATTTTATAAAAAAACTACCAGTTAACTGTTTGTAACATTTAGTATTAAGTGCAACACGGTTTTCATAGTTGTATAAAGAATGTAATAAGTATTTAACTTTATTTCAACCCATTTTTAACATTCATTACAGTGGAAGTTGAATAACGAGTAACGTTTTTAACTAACAACGGCTCTTAAGATGCAGTACTATTTTACTCAGTAAACAATTGTATTTAAAACTTATCAGTCTAGAAACAATTAAGGCCCGTTTTTGTTTGCATTCTGCGTAAGTTCGTGGAACAAAAAGAATGAAACTCATGCAAAAGCATTGATTGGATTTACTGCCATATTTATCTGATTTGTATTTACTTGCGTTGAAATTATTGGATCAATGCGTTTCTTTGTTTGCAGAAATAGGTCGAGAACAAGTGTACTTTTGGAGTAGCAGAAATCAAGCATGATATAATAATAATAATCATTTTTATGAGAGTTTGGAGTTTTGAGCGAACATTCCGGATACACTACAGAAGCAGGGTAGCCCCAACAGCACCCTAAATGCATTGTTATATTGGATACGGAGGGAGTTGTATGTTTTTCGAGTATTTCTATGATATGCCACCACCACCTTATTAGAATGACAAGTAAATGTACCAAACACTCGTGAATCTGATCATGATCGCTGGTTCACTGGATCTGATATGTTTTTGCCACAGCCAGAGTGTCAATTTTTAAGCTAGCTGGCAGTAACTTCGAATATAATTAACTTTTTAAAAAGTATCACAGACTTCAAAGCGTCAATATTTTGCGGTGTTGTCATATACTGTTTTCTTCATTTTCCATCCTTAGTGGTGGGATTTTTGCTTTCAATTTGAATAAGACTTACTTTGTGAATAGATTTGTAGGTTATCGGCAAACAGATGATACGTACAATGAAGTCTCACGGTAAGGAGATTAATATACACAGAAAATAGCAAACCACCACAGGGACACCAGAGTTAAGGTCACACCAACTGAGGAAGATTCATGTACGCGAACAGACTGCTGACGTCCCTGAAGATAAGATGAGAACCGTTCCAGTGCTTCGGGTCAGACCATGAGATGGGAAAGGATAGATAAGAGGATATCGTGATTGACGGTATTGAAAGCGTTTGAAAAATCGATTAGTATTATTACAGTTACCTAGGTGTCTACCATGCCTGACGGAATATAGCCGGTCACTTTAAGAAGAGTGGAGATGGTACTATAACCAGGCCAGAAACCAGACTGCAGCGGACTCAACAATTTGTTTATGTAGGTAAATTGCGCGAACTACTTGAGCACACAGGATTCTAGGACCTTAGAGAGGAAGGGAAGAATCGATATTGGTCTAAAGTGGTTGGGTAGTTTGGGATTTGCAATTTTAGGCAAGGGGATAACATAAGCTTTGCGCCAAAGTGATGGGAGAATTACAGAATCTAATGAGTAGTTCATAATGTTGGTTATTACAGGTAAGTAAATAAATAAATAAGATTTGGTTCAGGATTTTTATAATCATGCGTCGGCTGATTTAATCACAGCCAACGGCTTTATAGAAAGATTACAGGACTGTTTCGTGACTGAAGAAGTAGTCTATGGATGGAGGACAATAAAGAGCCCCCAGAACCATTTTGGTTCCTCTCAAAGAGACTTCGAGAAAAAGAAATTTCGCGGACGAGGAGCAAGAAGGAGAAGAAGCTAAAATTTTAAAAGGCAGGGATAAGTACATATAAATGGCAACTCCGCCGCCTCTTTTGCCGATCGGATAATTGCGAACGAGGATATAGCCTCTGAGAGGATAGAAAGTGGAAACAAGATTAGATTTGAACCCACTCTCCGACAGCAAGATGGCGTGAACGTTAGTTTGACTAACAAGTCGCTAAAGTTACTGGGTAGGCTCTGCGCAATTTTTTTTTTTACAAAAAATATTTTTGGCGTTCACCTAGTGTTTCATCATTAGTTAAAGAAGCGAAATTGTCGTCGTCTGAGGATACAGCAGACTCATAAGCAGTATTATTAGAATCACTCTCATGAGTAATCATCCTTTTAAATATGAAAAAATTAAATAAAAGTATAACCATAAATATAAAAACTTACTCTATTGGCACGTACATGCTCCTGTACACCCACGCTACTCTACTACACTCTGCGCCTTTGGCGCTATAAAAACACTCCAATGGTAGGACAGACTTGTACCAGGTGGAGTCGGGGTCAGTTCGGTTCTTTGACATAAGTTGAACCTAACCTATTTTATTTGTTATCTGCCCTAATAGGTATTATTAAAATCAAACAAATTATTAATTTATAAATGGCGTCAGTTTACCGTTTAGTTCCACAAGCCGGCAAAAGACGGCCAAATACACAATTTAATTTTAATAGCTTGTAATGAAAATAATGCTGTAATTTAATATATATATAAACTGTTAAATATATGAGAGCATAAAAACTATTGAAATAAGTACAATATATAACTATTTACGTAAATTTATATAAAATAAAATGTTACCGAACATACGTTCGTTACCACGTTCGTTACCTACAACTTAACTGAAGTTGTCATACGACAACTTAACTGTAGGTAAAACGAAACGTTCAATGGCGAGAATTCTATATAATCTATGGTAGGGATTGACATAAATATTGCAAAATAATTAATTTCAATTATTTTTTTCTCATAACCCCCCACCCCCAACTCGAAGGACGTCAATATAAAGTCGTACCGATTCCAAGCTTTGGAAAATACCATCTGCCTAGCTCTGGTGAGAAATTCCCGGATTGAGATAGACGAGCCTTTAAGTGCAGTCTTAGACCTCCAAACCGATGACCTGAACTCCGAGCTGCATAACCTTACCAGAATTGTCCGTGATGATCAGTATTTGGTGTCCCAAGCCTATGGCAGATGGTGAATGATTCATCTGTGTATATTTTCAACTGCAGCTTATTGTTAATAATGTTCACTACAACTTTGCTATAATCTTCACCCTCAGTCTCAGCAATCCCATCAGTAACAGCCTTGTTTCCATAGCATCAACGGCTTAAGAGCATGAATTTATTTGCCTCCGTAGCAATTCCAGCATATTGTACATCGGTTCCCGGCAAGTTTTATTTTATTTTATTTTATTAAAGACTTCCTGTAAACATATGGCATAAGGCGGACTTAATGCCACAGGCATTTTCTCCCAGTCAAATGTTTGGGTGTTGCAAAGCTGTGTGTGGCAGGTGTAAATTTGGGACAAGTAAGGATGAGACTAAATAAAAGAATGTTAAAAAATGAAAAACAAAATCCTACTGATATATAGGTACAAGGTATAAATACATATAGATATCAAAATATAATATATATAATAAAGATACTCTTAAGGTGTTATTTTGATGACTCCGTCAACAAGTCTCTATAGAGCTTCCGTACTTTAAACTTAAAGTTGTTGAGCTTGAGCCCTCGCACTGCGGCGCTGTCTTATAGGTAACTCAGGTTGAATATGAATCGAATGCGATTAATTGTTGAGAAGTCGGTCTAATTGTTTGTTCTGAACTCTTCAGCAACCTTGGCAACGGTATCCTTTGAGGGGCCTGTGCAATGCAGTTGTGACGCCAATTTTGCCATTCTTTTAGTGAAGCACTCTTCCAGTGACTTTTGGGCAGCTTCAATACTCACTAGTTGCGGCATATTGTTGTGTACTGTAGTGCTGGTATGTAGTGATTATTAATTAACTAAGATCCGGACACAAAATTGCACCAACACGAGTTCCGGACCCTATTTACTATTGCGGATAAGTTAAGATAAGCAACATCAAGTAACTGTAGTTATCATGCAGTCACATTCACACAACGCCATCTAGTCCTGATCTAAGCAGTATAGTCTAGTACTATGGGTACTAGACAACTGACATAAATATATTTATATATACTGTTTTGTTTTGGAAATACATACATGTTATACATAGAAACACCCAGACCAAATCAAACATCAAATATTCCTACACACAAATGTATGACTTCGGTGGAAATCGAACCCGTGACATTACGTGTAACAGTCCGTGATACAAATCACTACGCCATCCGACCGTCCTAAGAATAACATAAATAATTTATTATTAAGAATAACATAAATAATGTTATGAATGCAAATCTGATTTCGTTTGTTGTTTTATAATGTTAGAACTTAGCTTAAGTTTGCATACCCGATGTCAGGAATACAGAGTAGAATATAAAGTGACTTTCATTCGAAAAAAATTATGATCTCGAGAGACAACTCCTATATTTTCACTCAAGTAAAGTTGTAGGAAAAATCACGTTATACTCGTACTTAATATAAAGTCAAATTTAGAGGCATTAATAAAAAAAAGTACTTATAAGTAGTAATAAACGTTCAGAAAACATTTAATTATTCAATTTGAATAAGATTACCTCGTTAAGACTTAAAATTCCCAGTTTTAGTCATATCACGAATCCAACTAGCGTAACGTGAGAGTCTCACGCAGATACCAGGAAATTCAGGTTTACCACATCCCTCACCAATAGAAGCTATACCGACGACCACCCCCTTGTGGTATAGAGGACTGCCAGAGTCACGTTGACACTGGTCGTGACCACCCCCGTTTAGCCAACCAGCACATAGTGCATTGTCATCGATTGGACGCAAATGTTTGTATAATGTTTTACACGTGTTTTGGTTGATAACCTTGACTTCGACGTGACGGAGTTGCTCTGATTCGTACCCTCCTTGCTGCAAATAACAAGAATTTAAACATTATTAGATTTGTAATGTTTTAAATAAAGTAAAGTAAAGTAAAGTAAAGTAAAGTAAAGTAGAGTAGAGTAGAGTAGAGTAGAGTAGAGTAGAGTAGAGTAGAGTAAAGTGAAGTAGAGTAGAGTAGAGTAGAGTAAAGTAAATAAAGTAATAATAATAATGACCTCATTATTATTATTCCTTTACTATTTCTTTATGAATTTATTTAAATCATACCAAATCAAATCGTATCAAATGGTACTAAGAGCCATGCTTCGGCATAAATGGGCCGGCTCGACCGGAGTGGTATCATGGCCTCACAGAAAATCGGATTTAAGCAAATTTATCGTTGTTTTTCACAGAGTGAGTGAGGTCACCGCAAAAATAACCCCTTCCCCTGATTCTGTGGGGAAAAGGGCTCATAGGGTGGCAACGCATACTTCTAGTTCCGTGTGGTAACAGATTTAGAACACTGTATGTCACCACCCCTATTCATCCCATGGGTGTCGTAAGACTAACTACGCAGGACAACAGCACTGAATAGAGAAGGAAAACTTGACATAAACCCTATATAAACCGGTCTGGTCAGCGTGATATAATAGGTCAAAACCTTCTTCCTAAGGAGAGGCCTATGTCCAGCAGTCGACTATTAAAGGATGATGATGATGATGAGGCATTCTGTGACCCTTGAGTTGCAAATATCATTGCGGCCGCGGTAGTTACTCACCATCAGATTACCTGTCTGCTTGTTTGCCCCCTGCACTATCAAAATAGACAGATATTTACCACTTACTGAAGTTTCACCCCATCCCACAGCCCACATAGACTCGTTGTCACGGAGCCTGTAGGTATAAGATGGTATGGTTGCCGGTTGAACCGATTTGCTATAAGCTATTGTTGTTTCTGTACGCATTATAGCAAGATCGTTTTCGGTTGTATGCAGATGGAACTTGGGATGGAACATGACAAGATTAATTCTGTGCTCAGAACCACCGGTGTGAACCAAAGTGGAGCCTACACGGACTTTATAATTCTTGAAGTTAACTAAAAAAGTTGTAGGTTTCCTGTAAACAATTTTTTAGTAAATTTTATTTGTTTGTTAAAATAATGATTCGACGATAATAAAGATTCTTCTATTCTATTCTATCATTCGTCTAGCTATAGCGAGGAAGGGAGTAAAAAGTGAAATGTAGGGATATGTCCCTACTCACACAATCCATCCGCCTTTTCTTTAGTCGTCCTCTTCTCTTGTACCCTTTAACTCCTATACATAACACTTTCTATGCCACATTTTTCTCACCCCTCCTCATGGCATGTGCATATTTATGCTTATTACTATTATGCAGACGAAGTTGCGTCAGATATGCTTAAAATATTGATAAACAAGTAAAAGCATAAGGTTGGAACCACTTGTGCAATTATAAAATGGAATTGAGAATACTCTCTTATCATCTTTCAACAAAAAGAAAAATTAATTTAATTTGGTATGGTAGGAAAAAACCTTCTTTCTAAGGAGAGGCCTATGTCCAGCAGTGGATTGTTAAAGGCTGTTGATGTGTGTAACGCATGTTCTTTGATGCATCATTTGGTACGCTCATTTCAACCTTACTGTACATACTGTACTTACTTAAAACAGTGAGCCGCAGTAAGAATATGTCTTTGAGTAAGTATGACACCACCACAAACTTGCGTAACTCCTGATATATCAGATCTGACAATTGCAGCAACAGAGGGATATTTGTCAGCCGGAGCTACTGTTCCCCCTACCACTCTCATACGTATAGTGTCATCAGCTGAAAAGCAAAGACCATAAATAAAAATAAATTGACAGCTTGTGTTAAAATACAATTAGAATGATGTAAACAAATGTTCACCGTAGATTATTACCAACTAATTTAGGGTATAATAAAGACTGAAGTTAGTAGTTTTAAGAAGTCCGGACGCCAAATGTTTCTATTTTGGCGTTCAGACTTCTTAAAAACGAATTATCTCACCTAACCTACTTTCTGCGGAGAGGCCTATGTCCATTTCCTATGCCTATGCCTATGACTAGTAAAGGCTGTTGATGTGATGTGATGATGATGATTTTTTTCAAATTTTTCCAGGAAATAATTTAGTTTTCAGAGGGAGGGGATTACACTCAACTTTAACCAATAGCTATAGAACTATTTCTTAGCGTTACATGGATTCACCGTGTGGGTGCCGGGTCCATTGCGTGATAGATGGGGCCATATTTGATCGAGCCTAGCAATGCCGCTTTGGATATTCGTTCAACAAAAGAGCTCTTAGAAGCTCTTGGCAATCCAAGCTCTTTAAGCAGGTTATAGAGGGATTTAGCTGGTAGACCCTTCGCACCCACTTCCACGGCATGCAACGCCACGACATAACCATTTTTAGTAATTTCGTTGGTTAAGTCAAAGTACTTGTTTCTTTTTAAAGCGTGGTCTTTAGGGATGTTCGTTTCTCACGACACCGAGAGTTCTACTAGTACTACACGCCTAATTGAATTGCATAAAGAAATATGTCTGGTCTGGACGCCGAGGCACAGACATCCTCCGGTATTCTGTAATGATCTTCATACGTGTCCACTAATAATGTCCAGTCGCTGGCGGTATTTATAATTGAGTATGGCTTTTGTGTAGTCTTTTTTGTTGAGCCTTCCTTTACAAACGTGGTGTTCTTATGTTTGTTGTTATTCTTTTTTTCGGTCTCGCCAGTGCTAAACTTATAGCTTAGCGTATGATTTGTAATACCCTATCATGGCGACGTGAATAATTACCCCGGTCTAATAGCGCCTTACAACCTGTCAGTAAGTGCCTATTTCTGCATTGCACATGTTTAGCTTTTCCCCACCGTACTAGGTTACTTTGATTGGGGAGAGTCAATTGAAAGGCGGAGAGTTAAAATTTTAACAGGGTAGGTGACCAATCGTACAAAAGTGTGCGGCATTTCAAAGCTGCAAAAACCATTCATTCTGCATTTCTAGGTTCAATGCGTGCACCTTTTAGGTCTCGTTTTCATCTTGTTGCAGGAAAAATTTTGCTATCTTATTGTCGGTCTGTCTTCTAGCATTTCCCAATTCAAACCTACTGGTTTTTTTACTATTGATAATAAATACGTATTTTAGAAGAATATCCATGTTTGTCTCGAAACGTTCTAAACAAAAAATTATTAAAAATGTGCATAGATTTACATGAAAAAGCTAAAAGTAGAAGAAAAGTGCGTCTGTTGAAAATTATTTATTGTTTTTTTCAAATCGTTATTTTATTGTTAATATAGTAATTAATTCGTAATTAATTTGGACATCCGACACACAACGCCATCTACTTTCAAACTAAGCAGAGCTTGTACTATGAAAGCTAGATTGACTGATAGAATACTTAATTTTTTTTTGTAAATACATAAATATTATACATAGAAAAGACCCAAACTCCGAAACAAATATTAGCAGATCTTACAAACACCTCAACACAGCAGTCGCTTACGCTACCACTGCGCCACCGAAGCAGTCAAGGCAGTAATATGTTTACTATTAGATACATTAGTACTACTTAATGAATCTTAAACGACCATCACAGTTGTATATTAATATAATTATCTTCGGCATTGGTTAAGTACGGTGGCACAATATAGAATGATATTGTCCACATGCATCTACTTCGTTCCAGGTAACTTGTTTTATATATTATTGGATGAATACCCAGATAATAAATCTTCGTGATTTAATAAATTAGTGTAGGAAGATTAAACCTACCTCCGGACCTATTGGTTAAGTGAAAAGCGATCTTAACTGCTAAGCTAGAGGTCGTGGGTTCGATGGACCATCCTGGACAAATGACAAGTGATGAGCACGATCATTTGTTTTGTGTCTGGGTGTTATTTATCTGTTATATGTATGTATTTAGTAATATGTACGTATCTTCATCAGTAAAAACATACCAAAAAAAGGGGTTTGCTTAGTGCAAGCTTAGCATAGTTAAGGATCAGAAGGTCGTGAGTAAGATGTGTTTATAAGAAATACTAAAAGAAAGAAAATATTTAAAAAAAGTTACAATATTCTATTATGAGCTGATGTATTAATTATATTACATAAAGTAGCGCATAGTTATATAACATACCTCGTGAGACATATCCAAAGCAAAATACCAAAATAAAGGAAGTATACATCTCCTTAAGTAAATACTTAGTGATCAACACCAAAATAAATATGGCCGATCCTGAAACTGAAGAAAATGTACATATTGTTTTTATACTTTTTGCAGTACTTGTTATCCTAACATTATCATTAATATACATATCGTATTATGAAAAGAACGGATGAGAGGTAATATAAGCAAAGTGAAGAATAAATACATTATTTAAAGCGACCCCAAAAGTAATGCCAGGTAGTGAAAAGTTGAGGAGGATTGTCATGATATTATAAAGAGTATATGCGAAGAAATGAGTAAAATGTGGTGACGAGAGTTTTATACATGGAAGTTGACGGTTATAACAGGAAAGGAAAAAGGGCAAGACGTCAATAAATAAGGAGAGGCTTATTAGACTACCACATTTTGCCAAGAATAACTTCTCACGTAATAGATGTCAAACTTATTGACGTTAGCTCAGTTAAATCGGCAAGAGTAAATATTTTAACAATATTTAATTGTTGTAATTATTAACATATACTTACAATTTCAGTAAATGTGTTTTCCAACAATTTTCAATCAGTATTTAAGCCTTCCTTGGACTTTATCAGTATTCTATCGTTTTGAATCACGTTGGAAGCAAACTACATTAATAAACATTGAAATCCTAATTCGTTTTGCAATTAGTATCTGATTTGAAATGTTATCTGTCGATGAAATGAAATGACTGCGTTTTCTACGGTCATGTTTTGTTTTTAACGACACTTGGCTCAGCTGCGATACGATTTAATCTCAGATAACAAAATACACTAGAAAATCATCTGTCTACTGTTTTATCTAATTAAACAAGATTCTGTCACAATGGTGTGTATAATTGGATGTATATACATATATGATAAGTTCGTAGTTCTGTAGTGAGGTATGGGTGTAACTGCTGAGGAGTTTTAAAAAGTACTTACTTAACGTAAATAGTAAGAGTACCTTTTAAGTCAAGGCAGCGGTAAGAACGAAGTCCGCAGTCTTACTAAAAGACTGTTAGTACTAAAAAGCTGGCATTTTTCATGGATCATGGTTAACCATAATATTTTTCGCGTCTATCTCATATGATAAGATATAATATATCGTTGGATAGATCTTCAAAAAGTATAATATAAAAGTATAGTATAAATATGTTTTGTTTAAGACTCATGTTCCCCCTTGTAAAATGTTAAAATTATCACAAGTCCGTGTGGTGACGGATTAAAAATACAAATTGTCACCACCCCAATTCATCCCGTGGGTGTCGTAAGAGCCGACTAAGTGAGCAAACTAAGCAGGACAACAGCACTGCAAAGAGAAGGAAAACTTGAAACAAACCCTATACCAACCCGTCTGGCCAGCGTGGTATAGTAGGCCTAAACCTCCTTTCTAAGGATAGGCCTATGTCCAGCAGTGGACTAGTATAGGCTGTTGATGATCACAAGTAGCTTTTGCCCGCGGCTCCTCCCATGTGTATGTCGTCCCTGTAAAAGTAGCCTATGTTACTGATAACGTAAATTTCCATTAGTGAAAGAATTTTTAAAATCTGTTTAGTGGTTTAGGCGTTAAAGCAAAAACACTCACTTTCACATTTATAAGGTTTTGCCCGCGGCTCCGCCCGCGTGTATGTCGGTTATCGCGAAAAAAGTAGCCTAAGTTACTAACGTAGATTGCCATAGGTGAAATAATTTTTAAAATTGTTAAAGTGGTTTAGGCGTAAAAGTGTAACAAGCAAACTTACTCATATTTATAATAAAAGTATAGAAGTATAAATGTAACAGATTTAGTAGGATGAATATTTATATGATCTTCCGGCTAAATGAACTCTGTTAGCTTAAGAGTAGTTAACCCACTTATAAAATGTACTTATGTAATAGACGGATGAATGTATCCAACGTATCAAGTGACTTTTCTTTTAAAAAGACAACTCCCGTACTAGGAATAAGTCCTGTGCCGCGGGGGACTATAAAAACGTACATGAAACGGACACAAAGAACACCCAGACTCAGAACAACAATTTGTGAATCACACAAAGTGTCATCCCATGTGGGGATCGGACTCACAACACTCAGCGTAGTAGTGAGCGTCGTGGCGACCGCATAAACCACTACTAATTCTGTTTCTTTTCAGGTGTTAATAGTATCTTTGGGAATGTATAAAGGATTTATTTAAATGACTTGAGGAAAACAATGTATGCTTTTGCTTTCTTAGTTATTTACGTAGAGATTGTCAAAGGTATGTCTATATGTGTTAAGATTGGGGTTCATTGTAATTATATTCACACACAAAGTTATAGTTAAGCCTCCATTATCTTCACTCACTCGGTGGAAAGGTATTTTTTTTTGGAAAGGGGGGTGGCAAACGAGCAGACGTGTCACCTGATGGAAAGCGACCACAGCCGCCTATGAACGCCTGCAAGTCAGGAGTCAAACGCTTTGCCGGCCTCTGAGGAAGGAATCATCGCTTCGCATGGACTCCCCCCTCCCGAAGAAAAGGGAGAGTCTCTGTCAGCTCTTGTTTAAAAATATCAATAAATACTCGTATTATTTTACATATAAATACCACAATTTACATAATAATATAATACTTTACATATATATGGTAAACAAGTTGAATCTGACACCTGCGTCTTTGACGATACCGACGCAGGTGTAAAATTCAACTTTCTTATATTTATTGGCTATCCAGTTTCAATAAAACTTAATTCTTTTGCAAAAAATCATGTTATATTTTTCTTGGAACAAAAACGGAGAAAGCGGCTTAAAAAGTTTTGCAATTATAATAGCGCGCACAAAGTGTAGGTAGCGCCCCAAGACGATATCTTGGATGGTGTCTGTTCAATACCGAGGCAATAAATAATACATAGCCAGAGGGGTGGCTTAAAGGAAGTGTCCGACTTGCAATCGAGTGCTTGCGGTTTCGTATCGTTGTGAAGGCATTACTAATTTAAGCTTTTAGCTTAGCTGGAGGGGTGAAAACGCTAGTAACGACTGATGTACGTCTTTCCTAAAAAAATATTTGCCAATCTCCAGAGATGCACCAGAAAAGAATTGAAATTTTTGTTAAATGTTCACAACAGAAAAACACCTGAGGTATTTACTAGACCTGCTGTTTGGGTAGACCGATAAGAATATACTGCCATGGTATCATCATTACATCATCACGTCAACAGCCTTTAATAGTCCACTGCTGGACATAGGCCTCTCCTTAGAAAGGAGGTTTTGGCCTACTATACCACGCTGGCCAGACGGTTGGTATAGGGTTTGTGTCAAGTTTTCCTTCTCTTTGCAGTGCTGGTTGTCCTGCGTTAGCTGCCTTAGTCGCCGCTTACGACACCCACGGGATGAATATCATTGGTCATTGGTCATACAGTATCATTGGTCCACTCATTTCAAGTGGAGTAATGGACATCTTGTAGTTTAAGTCCTAATCGATAGCCCCGGTGAGGAGGGTTTTTCCATGAAAAATATCAATCTAATATTAATCAGTCAAGATACGAAAAACAGCTTAGATGTATGTAACTTAAATTATAAACTTTTAGCAAACCTATACGACTGTCGCCGAGTAGTCGGTGGTACAGTTACGAACGTTTTTGAATACCCGAGCGTGGCTGCTGTTCTGAAACATTATCACTCAAGGACATGTCACTACTACAGTCAAGTTTGTGCTGGCACAATAATCAATGAAAGGCACGTCCTCAGTGCTGCTCACTGCTTCGTGTAAGTAGGATCTAATTTAATTTTTAAAATTATTAATTAATTATTTATTATTTATATCTATACAAATACAAATAAATAAAATTGGAGTGTCTGTTTGTAATATTAAAATAACCGCTTTTTACTAAATGCATATGTATGTTTACATGGTACATATGCCAATATAACATGTTTTACAAGTTTTGTCTGTCTGTCTGTTTGTTCCGGGTAATCTCTGGAACGGCTGGACCGATTTCTACGGGACTTTCACTGGCAGATAGCTGATGACATAAGGAGTAACTTAGGCTACTTTTTTTAGACTAGCTTCGCCCCGCGGCGTTGCTCGCGGTTATAACAACAAACGCTGGTAACACCGCGGGTCTCAGCTAGTTATTAATAAAATTCATTTAATGTTAATTATTTTACAATATTAGATAAACATAAAAGTAGTATGATCTAAAATTTAGGACATTTATATATGTTGGAGCAAGATATTTTGGGTCTACTTCGCTTCTCGCTAAAATAGTTAAGGATTTTTTAGAGATGTTCTGATTGGTCGGTAAAGCCGACTATACGGCCACTATTGTAGTCGGTGACTAGTGGGCGATTATTCGGCAAAGAGCGCCGACTATCCGGCTTTCTTGATACGTATTTCTCAAATAATTTTTTCACGACCAACTGGTCGGCTAGCAAACGCCGTGAGCCAAGTTGGCATATCTCCAATTTTTTAAATTAATAAATAATTGAAATTTTAAATTTATTTCATTTTTGTTTCTAGTTGTCAGGAAACAGACAGAAAGCTTTCTCCTCAAATATTTCGCATCCGTGTCGGATCGTCTACAGCACATTTCAGCGGCTTTACTCATGATATCAACACAATAATTATCCACCCCGACTGGAATGCAGATACATATGACAGTGACATCGCAATCATGTTTACAGCTAGTAACATTGCATATAGCACATCCGTTCAACCGGCAGTTCTTCCTCATACCAATTACCAACTCCAAGATAACGAGCCCGTTTGGGCGATAGGATGGGGTTATACTGCTGTAAGTACTTAATACATATTGCAATGCACTCTTTTAAAAAACTTACTAGTTTCCAAATATGAATAATAATTTTAATGTAAAATTGTACCTTTAAGTATAGTTTGATCCCTGTTTTCTATATACCTCTTGCCGCAATATAGGTCTGTCATCTTAATCTAAGTGATAGATCTGTCACCTTATAAGTATCTACTTACTGACGGCATGGATGGCGTAGTGGCTTAAGCCACTAAGTGTGTGTGCCAAGTGTCACCTCGCCGTTTTCTACTGCGCTGAGTGTTGTGGGTTCGATCCCCACATGGAACAACACTTTGTGTGATCCACAAATTATTGTTCCGAGTCTGGGTGTTATTTTTGTACAGGAATATAATCTTAGTCTTTTAAGAAAAAAAAATTTACCGGCATTGGGCAATACCTACTTTTGACTCGTTTCACGTTTCCTAATTTAAATATATATTCCCAATAAAAATAACTTATCTAAATAACTATTTAGTGATAAGTTATTTTTATTGGTGGCTCAATACTTTTTAGGCCAGTGTGTGTGTATAAATTTTAGAGACGATTTGAGCCAAAGAAAAGCGGTATCATTTTTCACATTGTCTACTCCACAGTATACTTAACATTGATTACCCTATTAATATTGTAGAAAAAACTCCTATTGTGGTTTCAAATTTTAGTTATCCTATCTATTTTCTGTTTCGCGTTTATTTTAAGTAACCTTGTTTTTCTTGCCTTGTCCATTTCTCCTGATATATTTTTCAGGAAGGAGGTGCACCCTCCGAAAAACTTCGTCACGTTAAAATCTGGACTATAAATCACACTACTTGTAAGAACCTTTACCAAGTGCACTACAACTTAACGGATAACATGTTGTGCTCTGGTTGGCTTGAAATTGGCGGTCGTGATCATTGTACTCAGGACTCTGGTAGTCCTATATACCACTATGGTACCGTAGTCGGGATATCTTCCATGGGTATAGGTTGTGGAAGGGCATGTTATCCTGGTATTAGTGTAAGAGTCTCACGCTTTACAAAATGGATTCAGTGTACTGCTAACGAAATAAGAGATTAGTGTTTTAACCGTTGGTTGGTATAAGGTTTGTGTCAAGTTTTCCTTCTCTTTGTAACTGTTGTTCAGCTTAGTTTGCTCCCTTAGTCGGCCCTTATGACACCCACGGGATGATGACCATTCTGGTGACACTCTATCACCACACCACGCAACTGAGAACAACAGAGACAAATTTCACAAATTCTTGTCTAAACCTAATTAAGACTAAATTAAAATAAAATAAAATATTAAATTATTATTATAATATGTGCTAGGTACCTAAAATTTATTTAAAGTCGGTGTAAAGCCCAATAGGTATTTGATAAGTTACGTACGTCCACCTGTCTGTAATTTTGATTTAATTAGATAGCAAACATCGTACATTTTAAAAAAATGCAGTTTATTTTTCACTTTTTAGTGTTTTAGGTAGGTAGGTAGGTTTTAGGTAGGGAGTTTTTGTTTGACGTTTTATTTTACTATAAGTCGGATTATTTAAAAAAATGTCTATGTATTTTGTGGGTTTGTTGTTGTCCTCAAAATAACGACTGACGTTAACCACTTTGTATTTTAAGGGTTCCGTACCTCCAAAGGAAAAAAGCGGAACTCTTATAGGATCACTTTGTTATCCATCTGTCTGTCAAGACCCTTTATCTCCAAAACCATATACTTAAGTCTACGGCCCCTTGACGCTGTAAAATAATCAAACTCCTAAGTAAACTTAAAAAAAGATACGGCCCTTTATGCAGCAAAAAACGCATATTTCGACACTCTCAAAGAAAACAAAATTAATAGGGTACTTTCCATTGACCTATAACTCTGGGCAAGTAACATCGACTTATACTACAAGTACAGAGAAAAATCTGAAACTATACATTTGGAAATAAATCAGTCAATCATCGAGGTATAATTGCTCTTATAAAACTTAACAGTATAAGTAATTATAGTAGCTTTGTTTCCGTGATTTAGAGAGGTAGTATGTGGTAAAGGTTAGATACATCAACATCGGTAGTTCATAAATCCGGTTGGATCAAAGCGGATAGTTACTACGCTCTCCTAAAACATCGTGGAAAACCTTAGGCCGGCTCGAACGGAATCCTAGGCCTCATAGAAAACCGTAATGCACTAGCAGCTCTGGAGCTGCAGGTACCTAACCTTCAGATGACACGTCTGAAACAGCAGCATAATTATGCTAATATTTTTCAATTGGGAAGTGTGGTTTTTACAAGCCTATGAAGGTCTGGGTATGGACGCTGTATAAGGTATCCTTTTGAGCTTGCTAGGTATTGTTCATCGTGTAGTTCGTTACAAAACGGGCAAAGGGGTCGGAAGAAGCGATGTCCATGCTGGTAATTTCTTGAGGGTCGTTTTGAAGTTTTCTTGTTGCTGTTCTTTCGATTTAATGACAATCAATGTCATGGTACTTTACCGTCATTTTCTCTTCGTAAACTTGTTCCTACTCTATAGTAATCACTTCTTAACTCTTGGCAGTGGTTACGCTGATGAGAGAGCCTGTGTAGACTCTCTAAAGCCAAAAAACTCCAACCTATCTTATAGCGCATACTGAAGTCATCTTCGGAATAGTTCAGTTAAAAATTAAATTCAAGTTCTGGAGTCGGTCGACCGAAGATCTTTTTTTTAAACGATTATTATCGTTACCAATGTTAGAAATTTCAAGATTAGAGTGAAAAGGTTTGTCTTTGATTGGTGTGAATCATCTTCGTCTTCATTGTCTCCTACTTTCAGATTACTTGGAAGATAAACGTCTTTTCTATTACCCGATAAAAGAAAACGAATTTGTGTAACAAGTATATGTTCATAATAAATTGTGTGTTTTATGACTAAGCCACTTACTTAGGTGACGAAGCAAAATATAGATATTGATGTGTATAAAAGTATTTATCAAAATATAAGTAAAAAATATTTACCATAGATTCACTTTAGTTTTGATTACTAGTAAGTAGTAAAAACTATTACTAAACTGGTAGGTAAAAAATAACGCAGATGTAATTATAAACTTTAACTGTGGTAGTTTGTTAGCAAAGTGTATTTAGTTTTATTTCATTACTATTCAAATCATATACTTGTGTTATATTATTTAGGTATTTTTATAAATAAAAGTCTTTCATTTATTGCTAATTAATGAAAAAGTAAATAATATATGGGAACAAATAAATTTTTGTGATTCTTTAATAAACGCAAAAAACAAAGTGACGGTCTGCGTTTTACTGACCTTTTATATACATTTCTAGAAATATTTTACTATTAAGATGAAAAAATATATAGATAATATACTGTTTTTATAAAGCTAAATGGTAAATATTACTATATTATAAATATTACTATTATTATAAATATTTTTCATTTTTAACGCAAGGATTTCTATCATTCTGTCTTCAATTTTAAAAATAAATATTTATATACGTACAGTCGTTTTATTCTTATTTAAATTCTAATGCTATGGTTCCTAAATCTATATCACGCTTCAGAAGACTGCAAGTAAATATATGAACATTGAACACTGTGAAAATAATTTATAAAGTTGTCGACCGGGGTACTATCTACCCTTTGACATACCAAGGTTATCTTTATCCCAGTCAAAAGATAAGAAATACCATCATCTTCAAGTTATTCACAGTATAAAAAAATGTTTTTCATAAGAAGAATATTGAAATAGGTAATACATTTTAATTTATTTGTAAACCTATAAAATGGGACTAAAAGTACCAAATTTAGAGCTTTGATATCCAGGTCCTAGTGAGAGTACCTAATGAAAGGTAATTATCTATCGGTTACTGTTTTAGAAATAGACTTAGTTAACACTGTAAATTATTTACACACAACGAAATAAAAGGGCTCTGAAAACGTACTGAATGGCCGTAAAATAAATAAATAAAAATGCAGCGTCTGGCTTTATGCTCGACTTGGCCAGGGCACTGCCGTGTTCCTGACAGAGAATTTACCTGTTGTTAATCGAATATAAACTCCACGGTAAGTAACTTGTGACCTAACCTCTCCTATTGAATTATTTGCATTGAGTCAAATGCATTGTATATGCATATGCAAAGAGACGGGATGCTTCAGACCTTGTTTTAATTTAATTACTAAGTGCTAACAGTGTGGTAGCGCCCATTATATCTATTGCATTTGTAATGGCTCGCTAGTATTGAAAGGTAATATGTCGGGTAGGATTACAAGAGTAATCTAAACCTTAATCTAAAAATAGTTTGAGATTGATTGAATATGCATCAGAATTACATTTCTTTATCAGAAAATTTGTTTTGTTCTGTCCAGTGATCAAACAAGCGGCAAGTGATCAGAGGGAAAGGGATCTCGATTAGTTTACATCGTCGTATTTACTATTAGACAATTTTTCATTTTAGGTTAGAATCACAAGCTCTGCAGTTATATTTATCGCGTGATTATTAGATATTTCATGTTTCTAACTTTGAAAATGACGAACTGCCATACGCCCGCTTACCAATCATTTCACAACGTATGGGGTCCTTCTTAGTGCTTGCTTATAAAATAAAAAGCATCAGGTGCCAATATTTCAAGTTTGTGGCCCCATCGGTTTAGGCTCTGCGTTGATGAATCAGTCATGACAAGTATTTTTATATTAAGTTTACTTCATCTACTAATTTCCAGAGATTGGTATAATCAATCCGCTCTGCATCAAACTATGTGATTTAATTACTCTTAACTTTGCTATTACTAACTCAAGTTAAAATGGATTGCAAGTTTTCAGCGTCTTCAAATTATATTCAATTAATGTTTGGAACAGCGTTTCGAGCACAATGCAGACATGAATTCACTCTATGATAAATGCATTGTTTAATAACAATACAAGGTTAATTTAAAGTTGTATTCCTTCGTTCTGCTTCATCGGATTAACTGGTCTTAGTAGACTAGTGGTTTCTCACTGTGTCTCCTGCGTTTATTGTCACTGTTCTGTTCCTAATTGTCGTAGCGGTATCTTTCATAGCTTGAAAGCTCTTTACTGAGCACTATTCGATCCAAAAACGATTAATAAAATGTAAATTAAAGAGATCAATGCGTTTAAGAATACAACTACATTCTTGAATTATACTATATTAGTAAATTTTTACCTTTTATTTATACCTTGTGTTGTCACTGACCTTATACGTGTGCCCTGATATGTCAAAGTCAGTATAATAATAATAATAACAACTTATATACTGTATAGGTATCGTTACATACAAATTTCGCACAAAGGACTTTATGTCAAAAGTACTACGTTTAGAAGTGTTTTCCATTCGTATGTGTATTGTCCATGACAAACATTGCCTTCTTATACACATAGTCAGGTTTCAATTCACTAGTTATATTCGAGCTTTTGGAGTTGATGTCTAACCCATAATTTAGTAAAAAATTACCTAATTTATCTCTTTGGCCTACTACTACTGACTACCCTGCTACGTAAAGTGGGTTTAAGTTACGTAGTTGATTTTTTAATACCAATTCTTCCTCTCATTGAATGTTTAGTTTTAATTGTCATGGTAATTTCTATTTTTCGTGGTCTTAATTGATTCTGGGTAACGCTAGTGTCAAAAGGAAAGGTCACAAGTATATCACCAGTCGCATGAAACTAGTATTCGTCCGCTTTTTCCTCTATGTTTCTATAACATGTGGGTACATGTGGAACAATATTTCCCCTGTAACGTTTGGTCGGCTCTCATTAAACCGACGTCACTCGTTTTTTCTCTCTCGTCCACATATTGAACGCAGTAATTAAAACAGCAGACTGTTGTTGTTATTTACATTAACGCGATTGCATGCCTTACAAGTACTGGTAAATATATTCCTCTTTTAATATTTTCTTTCAGATTGGTTTATAAAGAGCAAATTAAAAAAAAAACAGTAACGCAATTACTATTGAATGTTTTTACAATTATTTGCAGAGTTTTCAGTACGAGATATCAATGTATAGGTGTTGCCTTCGGCTTCATTTACGTGATATATCTTATTTTTGGGGGTGTTACTTTAGAGGTACCGTATGTCTTCATCATCCTTTTCTGTATCTCTGACAACATGAATGATAATTGTATTCACTGCTTAAAATATTATTATTATTATTATTTACTCAAAGGTTTAGTAGTATTAATACCGATATCAAGCCCGATTCGACCGGAGTGATACACGCCCTCGCTGAACACTGCTGTTAAGCAATTCTTTCGTTGTTTTTCATCGAGTGAGTGAGGCAATCGGAGGTTCAACCCTCTCTCCTAATTTTGCGGGAGTACACAAAGGACGGCGACTGACTTAAGACTTTTAAGGTGCACGTGTGCATGGTTGGCTGTCGTCTCTTATTATCAGGCCACTCGTCTTCTCGTTTGCCACCTATACTATATATAAAAAATTACCACATACCACTGTAACAGCTGTTAAGAACTTAAATAATTTTCTGTCATATTCATTATTTTAACACAGTTATAGAATATTGTGTTAAATTATGTATGAAAGTTTTCTTTGCGCCAACACTAAAATTTCAAACTTAGTAAATTGCGCGACTAGACCGTCATGCAACGCTGACGTAATTACGCAATTAAAGTTCACAAAGTGTAAATGGATGCGGAGTGACAAAGCGCAAGCAGAGGACAACTCTAAACGAATTTATTATTTACCTGAAGCACTAATTGAACTTTGACTTGAGATCTATTAAGCTGGCCACACATGCTACTGTTTATCGAAGAGGTCTACTTGCGCAGGCACACCTGCAGGAGTGTGTATGCCAACGGCATGTGCAGTTTTTTAACCTGTACAGGCGACCGAAGCAAGTTTGAAAATCAATATACCAACAAACCGGATTGTCCCACACATTAAGATGTACGGAGGCCAAACATGTTGACCTCGCCAGTAGACCGAATCGTGTGTAGAAGAGAATAGAATAGAATAATATTTATTTCATAGCAGCAGCCTTTAGGCTTAAAGCGACCCATAGCTACTATATGATATTTTGTTATTTTTCTGCTGTAAAATGTTATAGGAATATAGGGAAGATGCATCACATAGTCAATGCGACATACATTTGACACTGACGAGTGATTCAAAATCTCGGTATATCAGCATTTGTGAACCGATTGATTCCACCCGTTAGTATTACTAATGATGGGGTATTAAGGTATAAGGAATACAGGTTATTACAATTCATTATGATATGGGCACATTGAAATCGGTGATACTTTTTATTTAATTATATTATCATAAACATTAACTCCAAATAGTATGCCAAAACCTCCTTCCTAAGGAGAGGCCTATGTCCAGCAGTGGTCTACTACAGGCTGTTCATGTGATGGTGATCTGAAACATTAACTCTCAAAGTATGAACAAAGTAAAAGTCAAAGTAAGTTCAAAGTGTGTTGCTGTGAATGAAGGCGTTACATTAAGCTAGAGATTATAGATTATCTACGTCTACAGACTACTAATAATAGTAACGATAGATATCCGCTAATTTCCTCCACTAACCCACTAATGCTCATTAATGCGTAAGTTAGTTTGTTTACTTGTTATGCCTCTTAATGACTCCATTGTTCATTATGAAACGAATTATTATATGAAACTTGTTTGTTAAGATACACGTTTTTACTGTAAAACAAAATTTAGAGCCCCTTACGAGCAGAAAACTTATTTTCACGCAAACGAAGCCACCGGAAAAAGCTTCTGTGATGTACAGTAGTTGTATATCAGAATAAATTTAGAATAGAATAATTAAAAAAAAGCACTCGAAGTATTAGTCCTGTAAAACACAAAGTTCACTTTTAGAATTCACTCAGTTTCATCCTGAACTTCTCTATGAACATCATCATTATTATCAACAGCCATTAATAGTTCACTGCTGGACATAGGTCTCTCCTCAGAAAGGAGGTTTTGGCCTGCAGCAAAGAAGGCAAACTCGATAAAAACCCTATAGGCTTCCAACGGGTTCACGCTGGCCAAAACCCTATAGGGTTCCGACGGGTCCTCGCTGGCCAGACGGGTTCCAACCCGTCTGGCCAGAGTGACCAAATAGTAGTCCAAAACCACCTTTCTATGAATATGACTGTTTTATAATGTAAAAAAAGCTAACTGTCTTTTATTAACGATTTAAAGAGATTACAATAGTACTTCAATATCTTAATCTATAATTTTAATTATAGAGATTATTGGAATATAGAGGTGTTTATTTATTTATCTATTTAATTATTCTTAATGCGATTACGGGTTTACGAAGAAAAACATATTAACAGGATAAAATACTTTGTCGATATCATCAATCAAACCTTATCCATTCCCGAATGTTGCCTCATGATACGTCTCACGTCATTCTTCATTAACTCCAGTAGAACAAATGCTTCTGAACCAAATTGTAACACGTAACAAAGGATATAGAAAGAAAATATTATTCCTAAGTAAATGATGTAATATCAAGCCATCATTAACTCCTTTGTTTTCTAGAATTCAATACTTTTAGCGTAAAAGACCAGTCATGAAGTATATACATATTTTTTTGAAAGAAAATTCTGACTAATTCTGAGTTTTGAATTTTTTAGGCGGGCTGCCCAAAAATGTGATGGTTGGTGCAAAGAAAATTCTGATAAGCATAAAAAGAGTAGTATGAATTTAGAATAAGAATATCGTTCTGGTTTTTGCTGTCTGTATGACATTCGAAAGTAGCAAATGCTTATTTCAGCTTTAGTTATTTCAAGAGAAAGCAGTACGATATTTTATGCGCGATTGATTTTTCTTTGTAATGGTAATGTTCCTAGGTGAAAGCTTTTTAAAAAGAATATTTATTCTAGAAGAAAATGAAATGAAATGGGCTACAAAGCGATATGGGCGACGTAAAATGTTATAATGTGTAATACTAAATAAGAATTTGAACCAATCGTTTATATGAGCACATAAAACTTTGACCTATTAAGTTTTAAGAGCGGGAAAGACCAGGACGAATTTGAAATGCACGCTCACCGATAGGCACTGGTGCACACCGGGCATGGTTTCTTGGGTGAGTACCTAAGTTGGATTGGACGCGAGGAGACGGCACAATGCCCGCACTGCGCAGCCGACTGGGACTCCACCCATCACACGCTTGAAGACTGCCCCGCGTGGGCGACTGAACGCGAAATCCTGGTCGACCAAATCGGACAATACCATGATCACCAAGATCTGCCATGATGGCGGGTGAGGAGGGCTTGGGCGCAGTGAAGAGACAAAGAGACCCCTGAATGGAATCGGGTGAGGTCCGATCCCGAGCGTAGAGGACAGCAGCCGTCGACGGGGCCGCAGGCTTCCAGAGAGTGGGGAACTCTGGTAGCAGATTAACTGCGATTAAATGCGATCG